GGGGGGGGGGGCAGACGAGCAGGCTGCATACAAGTGATCTCGTTGACATCGCCAACATCACTAATAAACCAAATGGGCAGCTTCCCTGATGTACATTTAGCTCTGCTTGTCCATAGCAGGGCTAAATGTATAAAAACAAATACTCGCCTGGCTCCCGTTACTACACCCCCCTGCCACTCAGAGGCCGGGCCTTGTGGCCTTGTGAGAAATCCAGCCCTAGATGGACCAAGACAAGGTTGAATGCATCCTAAATTGGCCAATCCCACATACCAAGAAAGTGTTACAAACATTTCTGGGCTTCGCAAACATTTATAGGAAATGTATTAAGAACTTCTCCTCCATTGTGAAACCTCTAACTAAATTAACCAGTACTACCACAAAATATTCCTGAAGCACTGATGCACAACAATTTTACGATGGCACTTGTTCCGCACCTACCTGATTCCAAATTACAATATATACTTGAAGTAGACGCCTCTCAAGTAGCCATAGGAGCTGTACTTTCACAAAGGGAAATCTTCATATCCACTCCATCCTGTGTGGCTTTTTACTCACACACATTAAAAAACCAGAGATCAACTAACTGGTGGGAGAGAAAAAATGGCTCGCAATTAAGTGTGCCCTTGAGAACTGGAGGCATCTCTAAGAAGGCAAGAGCATTCCTATCATTATTTAAACTGTTCATCAAAACCTGCAATATCTAAACACTAACAAAACACTCTTGGCAAGACAAGTCAGATGGAGCTTTTTCTTTAATTGTTTTGAATTTATTATTACCTACAGACCGGGTGTAAAAAATGGGAAGGCTGGCTGACTATCAAGACAAGAGTAATCCTCAACTATTAGTAAACCTTCAACATCAATCATTCCACAAGAGAAGATAATAAGTGTAACTATGAACCTAAAGGAAGAACTTAAATGAGCATTACAATCAGATTCATCCTCTGTACCATCTGATTTACAATCAGATGAAGAAGGATTCCTTTAAAGAAGGTCTAAACTCTAGGTACCTCCATCTTTCCAGACTCAAATTCTAAAACTGTTACATGACGCCCCTTTATCTGGACATCCAGGTATTACGCTGACATTTTTGGTGGCCAAATATGACTGAAGTCGTTCACAAATATGTCTCTTCCTGCGAAATATGCACATGGCCAAAACATGAAGCACTACAATCGTATGGACTTCTAACAAATTTACTGATTCCTGACAAACCATGGGAGACCATCTCCTTAGATTTCATAGTGGATTTCCCCCCTTCCCACCATCATAACACTATCTTAGTCGTAGATCTTCTCACAAAAATGGCCCACTTTGTACCTTTAAAGAAATCACCTACTTCAAAAGAAACTGCTGATGCGCTGATTCAAAACATAATTAAACTAGACCGCATTCCAAAACAAATAATTTCCGATCGTGGGGCACAGTTAGTGTCTAAATTCTGGAGATCTCTTTGCAAGAAACTACAAATTGATCATCATCTCTCAAGTGCTTTTAACATAGTAAATTAATTGTATTCAGTTATCAAGATATCAACAATTGCAATCTGGCGTGTGAAGACAGTGAGGGGTAGTGCCTTTTGCCTATTGCCATTGACACTGATTTAGAAAATGACTACAGGAAATTGTGTATAGCTATGTCCTGATAGTATCAGTGGAGTAAGACTGTGAGGGTCACTTTATAAGTCAAGCTATGACAAGGATATGCAAGTGATATCACGATATCCCCCCCACGCACCAGCAAAAAGAATAATAGGGTAATTGTCAAACAGATAGAAGCCCTTGTTCAATTGCCACTGAAATTTCTAGACCTGATCAGCGGCTCTGAGGTTGCGCATTGAGACGACGCCCCCTCCACGCCTCAATTATGCCGGTTTTTGCATCTAGGGGTATTTGTCCAATCAAGTGCAGATATCACAGGGAGTTAAGAAAAATGCAATAGTGGTGGTGGAGGGTCTTTCTGGTCTCATGAGTGGGCACAAGATCCTTGAAGAAAAATGTTAGTTCAAGGAATCAACTACAGTGGGGAAAGCTCATTTCCCTCATATTATGGGATAATGGGATATATATATATATATATATAAC